CTGGAGCTGGATCCATCAGCCTCCAGGAAAGAGCCTGGAGTGGATGGGGAACATAAGTATCAGTGGTGGCACTGATTACAGTCCTTCCCTCAAGAGCTGCATCTCTATTTCCAGAGACACAGGCAAAAACCAGTTCTCCCTGCAGCTGAACTCTGTCACCAAGGAAGACACAGCCACCTATTACTGAGCAAGAGACATGGTGCTTTGATGCAAGCATGAGCCCTGACATAAACCTCCCTGCAGGGAAATCAAGGAACAGCAGGGAGCATGCAGAACATATTGATGAAAACAACCACCTTCCCAGCAAATAAGGAGAAAAAGTTGAGAGGTTTTCCCTTCATTTGATGTGCATGCCCTTCAGTGGTCCCAGGCACAGAGCTCCCAAAAATCTCCTATATCCCTGGTGAGGCAGCGTCATGCTTACATGGAAGGAGGTTTCTTTCTTTTTTCTTTTCCAACTTCTGTATCACAATCTGTTGCACAGTAATTTTTTTAAAGACTATTGATTACAACTCACCTGACTGCAGAGTCTCCTTAGTTTTTTTTCAGGTGTTTATTTTGTTGTCCAATTATTTTCATAAGAAAGTTTAATGCGGGGCTGGGGATTTAGCTCAGCGGCATAAGCACCTGCCTCGAAAGCAGGCAGTCTCGAGTTCGATCCCTGGTACTGGTAAAAACGAAAAAGCCAAAAAAAAAAAAGAAGAAGAAGAAGAAAGTTTAATGCTTGATAAAATAAAACAAACTGTTTTTACCATAAGTACCTTCTAACTAGTACAATAATATATTGTTACTATGTACAATTTCAAACAAAAGATTCCATTTCCAAGGAAAGTGTTGTTGAACGTCCTCACTAAGCTTGATGGAAGCTATAAGAAATTTCCTTGATGGCCAATGTTTTCCTTGACTTGGCAATAAATCAGACAATAAAAAAACATAAGTCAAACTTTCAGTTAGCTGAGAACCATGAAAATGCTGTCAGAAGCTCAGTCATCTGGATCTTGGGAGTCTGCAGTAGATACAAGAGTTCATCAAGCAGCATAATACCTTGTGACTGTTTTCCCTCTAGTCTGCTGGGACAGGTTCTGTAGGTTTCAAGTTGGTCTATTATTAATAAAAAGCTGTGCCCTGTTGTGTCAGAACCTGGTAAGTGACTCGTAAGCCATTCTTTATCAGCTCATGGATTCCATCACCATCAGTGATTAAAGCTGTATGGAATTCCTTACCTGCCACATTACTTTCCAGTTCTTCTCCAGCATAGGAAATAAGAGGAGAGGTTTCACATTGGATCTGTGCATCACTGGCATCATTCAAGTGGGCAATCGCTGGAAGGGGAGAACTATTTCCACCTGTGAGCACTGCATAGCCAGCAGTGGTGTAGGGCAACAAAGCACTTGGGTTGTCCTTCCCACTGTGACTGTCTGCATGCTTAAGCGGGGAAAATCCATCCTCCGATAAACCTTCATACACCGCAAGCTTCTCTGCAATCTGGAAGATGTCAGAAGCTACGTTTGTCAATTTATACCACATGACTTGTCTGGCATAATTAACTCACCCCAGGAATCCACATATGGAATCTTCCTGTGAGCCAGATGGCGCTAAAGCTGAGGTTCATCAACACCAACAGCATCTCTCAGACATAGGACGATGAAGATGTGATTGGTGATGCGGCCCACACAGAACAGCACTTGTCCATCCGAGCTCCGTACCTGAGATGTTGCCAGGGAAATTTTGCTCTATTCTACCACCCATTATCCACCATTCACCGCACAAACCATTCCACCTGGCTCTGTAGTGTTCTCTCCTCTATCACCATTGCTCCACAGTCTGCCCTTTCTCAACGTGGAATTCAATAACCATTGGCTTCACTTTAACCAATGCATCATCCACGTAGCATATGCAAGTGCACCAGGTGCCTTTTTGTTACAAATCCTCCACCATATTCTGGGCTGCCAAAGCCCAAAAAAAACCCTCATTTCCATCTGGGGCCATAGAAATTTTGTTCTTTTCTTCCAAAGTAATTTTCCCATTAAAACTCATAGCAGGCAGCATGCCCTGATCAAAATAGATTACATTTTCTTTTTTCAACCAAAGTACTTGTGTTTTATGAAGAACTCCTTTGTCTCTTCTATTTTTCTGCCACTGGCCCCTACCTACCATGGACTGATCCATTTGAAGCCATGATAGCTTTAGCTAACAACTGTAGCTTCAGAACATGCTCTGCTGGAATCTGAAAATGTCTTATGGGATAGTGAACCCACATCACACTTCCTTCCGGGATATGCCATTCCAACTGTTGCCCTCTGTCCATCTGCTAGCAGGGGAACTGCTCCTTTGTTCTGAGAAATCTGGAAAAGTCACTGTCCCAAGCCTGGCACTGATCTTGGTACCTAGTAGCACCGCCACCATCTCTCCAGGGGCAGTTATCATTGGTGCATCTGCTTTCTCATGCTAAGAGAACTAGTTAAATCCTTCAGTTGGTGTTTGATACGTCTGTGCATACCTGCTTCACCTGATCTGAATCAAGGCTGCCTCCCAGGCAACCTACAGCCTTCCTCAATGCTGCTCGACCTGGATGTGCACAGGGGGATGCATCCCTGAAGCACAGATTAAGTCTACAGGTAGAGAAATAGGCGCACATTTTAACTACAGGAAAGAGGCGCTGTGAATCTCATTGCACATGCCCAACTCTATTCCGCAGATCACAAGGGAGGACCTGGTTCCCCTGTATTTCTCACTCCATCTATCAACACTTGGTCACACTGAATCACTCACTTGTGTTTCTGTAAAGAATTCAACCTTTGTATAATGGAGCAAACACTGACACCTGTATAATGTATTTAAATATGTAAAAATGAATTAAGGCTATGAATTAGAATTGAGTGTCATAACAGTTACATGAAATTCTTGTTTTACATAATCATATTATTTTCACCAAACCTGACCTGCAGACTTCATGTAATCTGCTACTGAAGTTTTTCTACTTCCCGACCTCAGAGCCCTCTATATAGCAGGAGGCCATGCAAATTGGGCCTCCCTGTCCCAATGTAAACCAGCCCAGCCCTCACTCTGCAGCTCTGCACTCTCCAGCCCTGGACTCCCAGGTGTTTCCTTTCGGGGATCGGGACTGAGCACAGACAGCCCACAATGGAGCTTGCGCTGAGATGGGTTTTCCTTGTTGCTGTTTTAAAAGGTAATCAGTGAGGAACAAGAGACATTTAGTGGGAGAGAGTGGGATAAATGGTAGACATATGTGACAGTTTCCTGAGCAAGATGTCTCTGTGTTTGCAGGTGTCCAGGCTGAGGTGCAGCTGGTAGAGTCTGGGGGAGGCTTGGTGCAACCTGAGGGGTCCCTGAGACTCTCCTGCGTGACCTCGGGATTCACCTTTAGCGATTACTACATGTACTGGATCCGCCAGGCTCCAGGAAAGGACCTAGAGTTGGTTGGTTTTATCAGAAACGCGGCTAATAGTCACACTACGGAGTACGCTGCATCCGTGAAAGGCAGATTCACCATCTCCAGGGATAATTCCAAAAGTGTATCTTCAAATGACCAAACTGAAACCCGAGGACACCGCTGTGTACTACTGTGCAAGAGACACAGTGAGAGGACATCAATGTGAGCCCTGACACAAACCTCCCTGCTGTGGTACTCTGGACCAGCAGGGGGCGCACAGGACACACGGAGTTCAGCCCTGTGCAGGACAGGAGCACAGGATGGAGCAGAATTATTTCCTGTGGAGATGTGAGGCTTCGGTCCACGTGACGTATTTCCCGGGAGACTCTGCATTCGTGAGTCTGTGCTTATCTTTCATGCTCCTGGAGTAAAAATTTAACTCAATAGTAAGATATATTCTCATCTGTACACATGTTCAAGTGTAATTGTTGAAGGTAAAAATGAGTCTTCTGTGAACACAGGACTGGAACTTGAGGACGCACAGGCAGTAATTCATACCTTTTTCCATTGAAAAGGACCTTATTGATGTTTCCTTTCACCACCAGTTTTGATATTTAGATTAGAGGCAGAAGAGAGATAACCCGAGATTAATAATGGATAAAACTTTGGAAAACTTAAATCTTACATTCCTTGTGCTATATAACTGCATAAATCAAACTCAGAGCTCATTTAATTATCTTTTTAAATAATGTATTTTTCACTTAGTTTTTATTCTCGAATCTGCTTTTTTAAATCTACTTTCTTAGAATGAAACACAAGACCTTCCTGCAGAATCTCCCATGGAGTCACTAGTGTACACCCATGTGTGCCCTGGTCCCTCAAGAAGGGAGCTAGGAGACCAGTGGTATCCAAGGCACGGAGAGCAGGACATCAGAAAGAGCCGCCAGGAAATATTTGACAGGAACTGAAGGTGCACCCACCATACAACTTCATCTTTTAAAATTTTCGTATCAATATATCAAATACGTCTCCTTCATCTAAGAAAATTATCTTGACAAAGTAAACCAAGAACCACTGACTCCTATACCATGTGTAGAATATCTTCACTGCTCTCCCATAACTAGAAACAGACCCATCCACACATGTGAAATTTATTTTTTACAGGGTAACACAGTAGTTGACTACAGATGTCTATTTCAACGAATATTTAAACAAATAACAAGATGAATAATAGCAAGTGTTATAAAGTACGTTGAAGAAATTAACCCCTAGTGCATTGTTGGAGGGAATGTAAATTATTGCAATGAGGGAGTGACTATTCTATAGGACAGCGACTCTGGAATCTCCTGAGCGCGTTTATGACCAATTTGCAGGAAGAATTCGCCGCGTCCATTAAGAAAACCAGGAAGGCTTTGAAAAGCCAGGAGTAAAGCCCTTAAATGCTAATATGGTCAGACGAGATGAGAGTTACACAGGAGAGCCTAGTCCAGAAGAGAATTGTTTCTCTGGCGGCTCAGCTGTCAGAAAATAGAGCAGGAGCCAATCAGCAAGGAAGGCGGCGCCTGGATGAGCTACCCAATCAGGTGGGCTGAGGGGACGGGCACTTCCTGTGTTATGGCGTACAGTGGGCTTCGTCGGTGTTGCTGAGAGTCCCTGCTGGCTAGACCGGGTTTTGTGTACTATCGCCTGGCTGCGCGCTGCATTCAAAGGCTCCCGGGAGACCCTAAAGCCACACAATGGTGACGTTGTAGGACGGGAGCCGGGGATGGGACGAAATCGGGTGTGTTCTGGAGGGAAGTGGTCGGAAACGGCTGTGGCAGTGCACAGCCTCCCTGCTCAGCTCCAGACGCCGAGGTCTCCCTGGTCCTTGGTGCTACGTCGTCATTCGTAACATTTCCTCCTTTACAGGGACAGTGCTAGGTCCCCAGTGCACAGTGCTAGCTCGCACACTGCCAGCCTAGGATGTCTTCTTGGATGGCCCCGGCACAGCTGTGTCTGCACCACTCGGCAGGGAGCAAGAGATTTGGGCAAACCATCACTGTAGTTTTTCACGTGATTCCTCCACTTGCAGTGATGTTACTGAAGGAACAAGGTTCTTGGTCTCACAGCATTGAAGAATGAGGTTGCAACCAAAGGAAAAAATGTTAGCAGAGAGTTTATTGGAAGTAGGAATACTACTAGCGCGCTGATTCTGGAAGTGTCCCAAGTGAGTTGCCCCATAGCCAGAGCTAATTATGAATAAGCAGAGCCCAGGAAATACTCAGCTGTTTAGTGACCACCTATCACCGAGGGCTCTGTGGATTTAAAACAACTACTTTGAACTCAGGCTCTCTCACCCATTTCCTCAGCATGCACTGTTAAAAAGAAAATGGGATTTTAGAGAAACGTTAGATAACTTGTATTTTCTTTCATTTGACTTTTAAATTTTATTTATTTATTTATCTATTCTTGTGTCTTTTTGAAACAAGGTTTCATTCTGCAGCTTAGGTTGGCTTTAAACATTATTTTGTAGAGCAAAAGAATGTTCCTGTGTTTGCAGGTGTCCAGGCTGACAAGCAGCTGGTGCCCCTGGGAGACGCTTGGTGCAGCCTGGGGCATCCCTGAAACTCTCCTGCATGAATTCAGGATTCACTGTCAGAAGCTGTGCCATAAGCTGGATCCAAAGGCTCCAGGGAAGGGCCTAGAGTGGATCTCATACATAGGTGCTGGTGGTAGCACATACTATGCAGACTCTGTGAAGGGCTGATTCACCATCTCCAGAGACAACGGCAAGAACATGCTGTATCGATAGATGAGCAGCCTGAAACGGAGGAACACAGCCCTGTATTAGTGTCCATGACACACAGTGAAGGAACATTTGTGTGAGCCCAGAAGAAACCTCCTGGAAACAGGGCTTATGCCCAGCAGACGTCGCTGTAATGTGAGAGAATCACGTGCATGCCCCAGAAGCAGGAGCTGAGAAGAAAGCAGGGGAGGGAGCTCTTCCTGGGGACTCTGGGGTTCTCTTCTGTTTTAACATTTTAGTTCCTGAACCAACCCACATTGAAGTACCAAAGTTCAAGGAAAAATTCTCTGTTAAATGTAATTGCATGAGTACATAAGGAACAATGATTTTTTTCATTTTCTGTGTATGAATTGTACTTATGGGTAAACAAAACTTGCACCCATCTCAAAGTAACTTGTGCATTTTGTGAAGTTAATTTTGTTTTCAGTGTCAAATCCTCACCATCTAAAGTGGGTCTGTTGGTTTAGTTTGGGTGATGAAGAACTGTCTCACGCAGTAATAAATGCTTCAAATTAGGAAATTAAATCCTTCTCATCTCTGTCTGTGGGGTCTCAGATCACACAGCTCCCTCCCCTCTTTGGCCACCTCAGGAGACCTGGTCCCCAGGCTCAGCCCCAGCACCATGAGGAACCCTGAGCTCAGGGGAGCAGTGAGAGGGGCAGCCTGACTGGACTCAGGGCACTGTCTATGGACCTAGATGTGCTCTTTCTAGACTAGAGGGCTGAGTAGGACTTGGTCCTGTGCCTTTCTTTTGCACCTTACAAATTAAAAAATTGATAAAATACAGCAAAACCATCCTCTATCTTAATCTCCATTTCTCTCTCTCTCTCTCTTAACTTTTTAGGTTTTTTTTATTTTATTTTAAAAAAGAAAAATAGAACATTAAAGTGAAACAAAACAAAACAGTGTTAGGACACTGGGGATTCACTGTTGTTACTGTATTAGATAATCTCATCCTCTAATTAGTTGCTCAGGCTCCCTGTCCCAGGCTTGCAAAGTCGATCAAATAATTTAAATGTTGCTGCCTTAATTTAGTTAGTAACATCTTAGCCTGCACTCCGTCCCATTGCTTATGTGTGTGTTACTGGTGGGAGAAGGGGGAGGCTGCACAGCTTCCTTGCTGCTTCCCCCACCTGACAGGGCCTTGCCAACACATGTGGTGTGGCGACTGCAATGCTTCGTGCTATTTTCCTCATCCAACCACACCACCAACCCGGCTCTCTTATTCTTGCTGGGTTCCTGAATTCTCCCTCTCTGGATTTCAACCCACGGATCCGACCCTTCCCATGTCTGTGGGCCCCACCTCTGTCATCCTGCTCTCCCTCATGTTGCTGTAGCCGAGGGTATGGACAGCAGATGAGAAGTGGAGGGTCTTCCTCTGCTGCTCACGGCTTCTCCGTTCTCCTGTTAGTGTCGTGGCTTTTTACTCATTTCTCAGTTTTCAGTCTATTGGGAAAACAATGGAAAATAAATGAGGTGAAAATCTCTATTCTCACAATGTGCATGGTTTTCCTAAATGGATTCCCATTATTCTACCATGATGTGTTTTATTTTATTTCAATAATTTCTGTATTTAACAGTCACACATGTATTTGTACATTTTTCTAAAACAACCAAATGTACCTCTATGGTTACTAATATCACACTTATTGTTACAGTTTCCTGTGACCAGTAACATAGTGAACAGCATGAAATCACTTGCATGCACATCCATGGTTCCTGAAGGCAGAGAAGAGCTGAAATTCTCACACACAGTACCCATCTCTCAGATGGGACCAAGGACCTCACCCTCACACTCATCCCCAGGGCTAACACAACCTCCAAGTCCTGCTCTGCTCTTTATCTAGTCCAGCATCCCCACTAACGTGTCCCTTGTCTAAGGACTGAAAATTCATGTACTTGATATGATGTCTCAAGGGCATCTGTTGTTTTCCCTCAAGGTAGGGACATCTTTGGGAATATGCCCTTCCCTGAGATGGAGTCTGATCCTCTCCATTGCACCTTCTGAATTACAGCTTCCTTCAGATCACTGAAAATCTGAAATATTTTATGAGTTCCCTTCCATTTCATTTTTCTTTGTTGTTCAGAATTTAATCATGATTGTGTAGATATCATTTTCAAATTGAGACCTTGGAAACACACCTCAAGAAAGAGTTCATATTTAGCATTAATGTTGTAACTTGTGTGTCAAAGAAAAGTAATGAATGAAACCAGGAAGACCATGGAACTCCTGGGTGTTCATCTCACCATATATCTCAGCTGTGCTTGATTCAGCTATACCGCTGCTCCTCTGTGTCACTGTGTCGTTTGATTCTTGACCTGATAGTTATGAAGAGCCTCGTTTCTTCTCAGATGTGTTTCACAAAGTTCACCTCTCACCCTTAGTTTATACTATCATCTCATAATAGAGGAAAAATCAATCTGTGAACCATCCTCACATCCTAAGTGTGAAATCCATCACCATATTAGTCCCTGGTTATCAACTTCCTCCTCACTGACACCTTCCAGGTGTTTTCTTCTTCCTCTTCATGTGTCAGGATTGGTTAATTGTTGGATCTTCCCACCAGAACTGTAACACGATATAGAGTACAGGCAACACTTCTCAATAACAAAACCCACAAAGGAAACATGCACATTCCTAACTTTAGTGAACAAATCCTCAGAGACCTTCCAAGGATTTAGTAGAGCCAGTGACATCCTCCCCACCACAAGAGCTTAGGCATAACTGAACCTTTATTCTCTTTGTGGAATACATGTCAGTCTTCCAACAAATCCATCAAAGTCGTGTAATTCAGAACAGAGATCAGAACCGTGGGTGTATGACTTCAGAGCAGGGAGGTAGAGGGATCTGGTATCAAAGATCAGAACCATTGCCCACCCAGAGAGTAACAGATTTGTCTACTCCTAGATGTCAGGGTCAGTGCTCTCTTGCTTAGACTCAGAACAGCTCAAACCCTTGTCCAGAGCCTACCCTGAGGGTCCATATAAAACCTGTAAATCTATTTCTCCTTACTAATGTGGAATCGACTATTACCTGCATTCAGGTCACATGATTATGACTAGATTTGGGGAGGGGGAGGAAAAAGGTAGAAAAGCACCTTGTATTATCTAACTGACCATGAGGAATGCAATCATTATATCCTGCAAATCTGTACTAATGAATAAATAATAATTGTACAGAGTACAATATGCTATATTTCAGTCTCTCTCCAGGAAATGACATGGAGAAATAAGAACTTCAGAGGACATGGATACAGACCAGTCAATGTATTGAGTGGACAGTGCACTGAAGCCAGGGACACATCCCAGTCACAGGTGTGACACAATAGCCTGGGGGTCTTGTGGATCACAGGTGAGGATTCCAATGGGGCTTTTCCTTTTCCAAAGTTGGCAAGTAGTCCTCACGGCAGTGGTGATGATGCTGAACACTGTGCCTCCCTGCTGAAGAGGTCACATCCAGAGTGACCCCTGCTTCTAGCCTTTGCCTCTCTTCACATTGGAGATCATAAGATACAGTCCCCATCCTCAGCATCTCCCAGTGATGGAGCTGGTCTCTGCTCTCCATCGTGATTCACTCAGGAATACTCAGCCCCACTTTCCTGACTCATAGACAGATTGATAAGGATGTCAGCTCAGAGAAGAATTCTTCAAAGAATCTCAATAATGGAATTCATAGATTTCATCTGTTTGTGGTGATCTTAATGAATCTGTACAGCATGTGCTATGGAACTGGGTAGGAAAACATCATGAGAGTTCTTGCTACACTGTACTGGAAAATATTTCACCGAATGCCCAGTGCACCAATAGTGAACAAGAAATGTCCACTTCTGGCTGAAAAAAGATTGGAAAGAAAGAGGTAAGGTTTAATTTTAGGACATTGTCATCATGAGCATAGTGTTCATAATGAATAATTGATCACAAAGGGAGAACTGTAATTAAGTAAGCATTTAGAATTTAGGAATCACCTCCTGGAAACAAAAGGAGGAGAACCTAGAAAGAAAATCCCACCCAGCACCTACACTAGGTCAGTTAGGGAAGGGCCACTTAGTACAGACAACCTCCTTCCTTCCTCCAGTGAGGCTTCTCTATCAGGGAGGCACAGGACCCACATCCTCATCTCCAGGCTCTGCAGGCTCTGGTCAGTGGGACCTGGATCACAGGACATCTCAGAGCAGGAGGCAGGAGGACCTCTCCTGACCACGTTAATGGTAGTGAAGCAACCTCTACAGCAGCACAGATGGTACCACAAGGGAGAGATCAGGGAGAGGAGGAGGGGGCTGTGCTTGCTTCATCCTGTGGAAGCAGCACCAGAGCCTGTGTGGGAGTGCAGAGTTAGAACAGGAAGGGAGCAGGACTGGAGGACGCTGGGGTGGGAACAGGAAGGAGGGCACATGTTCATGCTTCCTCCACTCCAAGGAAGGTAGCTTCCCGCCTAACACAGACATGAACACCACTTGAGTGCAGGGGAAGAGATTATTCTCTGCAGGATAAAGACCATAGACATCCTGGCCTGTGTCTCACCATCCTAAAGTAAAGGGGCCACTCTCATGCAAATTTGTCTCCCAAATCTAGACTCAAACTTCCCTCCTGGGCTAAAGGAGCTAATAGCTCCTTCCTCAGATACCCCTAAGATCTCTGGAGAAGGCAAAGGTGTGCCCTAGAATATGAAATTTGTGAGTCTTCTCCTGTGCCTCGTGGCAGGTCCGCATGGTGAGTATCCTAAATGTCAGACATGGGTCCATGGGAAGATTAGGAAAGCAGGTGACTGATAGGAATTTTACTCATGTTTCCAGGTGTCCTGTCCCAGGTGCAGCTACAGGAATCAGGACCTGGCCTGGTGAAGCCCTTGCAGACCCTGTCTCTCACCTGCACAATCTCTGGATTCTCCATCACAACCAGTGGTCATGACTGGAGCTGGGTCCATCAGCCTCCAGGAAAGACTCTGGAGTGAATGGGGCCATAGGTAACTGTGGTGGCCCTGGTTAAAGTCTTTCCCTCAAGAGCCACATCCCTATCTCCAGACACAAGCAAGAAACAGTTCTCCCTGCAGCTGAACTCTGTCACCGCGAAATACACAGCCACCTATTACTGTGCAAAAGACAACAGTGCTTTGATGCAAGTGTGAGCCAAGACATAATCGCCCTGCAGGGGCACTCTGGAACACCAGGGGTGCGTAGAACACACTGGGATAAGGAACCAGCAAATGAGGAGAAAAAGTTGAGAGGGTTTTCTCTGCAGTTGATTTGCATGTCAATCAGTGGCCCCAGGCACAGAGCTCCCAAGGATCTTGCATATCTCTGGTTAGGTGCTCACATGGACAGAGATTACTTTCTTTTTCTGATATCCATATCATGACAGGTGAGGTCTGGATATTTAGCTCAGCGACATAAGTTCCTGCCTTGCAAGCAGGCAGTCATGAGTTCAATCCCTGGTGCGAATAAAAAGAACAAAAAAAAAAAAAAAAAAAAAAAAACAAAGACTACCATGATGGGTTGCACAGAAAATGTATTTCAGTAAAATCATTGATTATAACACAATGGACTGTACATTCTCCTTAGGTTTTTTAAGGCAACTTTATTTTGCTGACCAATTATCTTTGTTTAAAAATTTAATACGTGATAAAATACAATAAACTTTTAGCACCATAGAAAACTTCTAGCAAGTACAATGATACATTATTACTACATAAAATTTCACAAAAGAAAAGCTTCCACTTCCAAGGAAAGTGTTGTTGAACATCCTAACTATCCTTAAGCTATAAGAAATTTCCTAGATGCCTAGTGTTTTCCTTGACTTGGAAATAAATCAGACAATCTAAAAATATAAATCAAACTTTCAGTGAGCTGAGAATCATGAAAATGCTGTCGGAAGCTCAGTCATCTGGAACTAGGGAGTCTGTAGCAGCTGTAAGAGTTCAATAAGCAGCATGAAACCTTTTAACTGTTTACACTTCAGTCTTCTAGGACAGGTCCTGTAGGCTCCCAGTTGATCTGTTAATAATAAAAAGCTGTGCCTTGTTGTGTCAGAACCTGGTAAGTGACTCATAAGCCATTGTTTACCAGCTTTATCAGTGATTAAAACTTCATGGAATTCTTTACCTGCCACATAACTTTCCAGTCCTCCAGCATAGGAAATAAGAGGAGACCTTTCACACTGGGTCGATGCATCACTGGCATCCTTCAAGTGAGGAATCGCTGGAAGGCAAGAACCATTTCCACTATGAGCACTGAGCACCCAGCAGTGGTGTAGGGAAACAAAGACCTTGTGGGGTCGTCCTTCCCACTCTGACTGCCTGCATCCTTCAGCTGGGAAAATCCGTCCTCCCATTATCCCTCACACACCTCAAGCTTCTCTGCAGTCTGGAAGATGTCAAAGGCTACTTTTGGCAACTTTATTCCACTTGACTTGCCTGGTGTAATTAACTCTCCCAGGAATCCACATACAGAATCTTCCTGTGAGCCAGATGGCACTGCAGCTGAGGTTCATGAG